TTTCTATAAACTCTAAGTGCAACTTCGGGAGTGATTTATCACTCCATTAGAAGTTTGGGTAAATACCCTTCCAACTTTTAACATCATAGCCTGCAGCTCACTACTGCAGATCATCCGTCGATGTTCTGACGAGGATCAATACAAATTTTTATTAATGATAATTGGCTAATATAAAATATATATATATATTTTTTTAAAGTTGTTACTGACAGTAGTTTATTAGAGTTAGATTGGACAGTACATATGATTACATGAGCAATTTGTGTAACTAATTTTAGTGCTATTTAATCTCATATCTTATAAACCTGCTTAATTTTACCTGTAAGGTACTATTATATCAGTACTCCTGCTCTGCCCGGGCAGTGATGTTCATAAGAATCTATCACGGACTTGTATTTTTATATTATTAAAGGGCTAGAATATGTTACTATTATGGGGATATAGAATTGTTTGTGTTTCGGTACGAACATTGTATCATATTTAGACTACAAGGATTATCTATTATTATTCAAACTTTTGATTTGATGTGAGATTCCAGTGGTTGAATGATATATCACATTCGATTTTCATCTTCCATTTAACTATTTTTAACTACTCTTCAAATATGGTCTTTCGGGAACTTCTCTTAATTACTTCGTAGTGTATTGCTCCTCCTATTGGATTGATTACCTTGATAATTGTTTTCAAATTTTTTCTCCCAGGGTCTGCTCCTGCATTTTCCCATCGTGAGTCTTGATTCAACATTACTCGACCTTGATAGGATAGGTTATATTTTAGTGATAGCCATTGGTAATCGACAACGCATGTCTCCTAGTATGTGTCTGGGCCATTACCTTTTTGACTGTTGTAAGTGACCAGGATCTCCCAATATGTATCTGGACCATTACCTCTTTGACTGTTGCAAGTGATCAGGGTTTTCCAATCTTTCACAAGTGAGTTTTTTGAGAAGAGATGAATGTCGGCATCTAGATTGTTAGAATTGGACCAATCGATTTCTTTCTTCAATCTTCATATATTCTGATCGGCATAATGTTATTGTTATAATAGGTGCTAAAACTGGCCATAACCTGTGTGACCTGTTTGTGGAACTATGGTCAGATGGTAATTTTCTTTAGGTGGTATAGTTCCTATAATCTGTATATTATAATGTGGTATAGTCTGGAAAAGTCTCACCTAAATTGCTTGTATTATTCTTGAGTAGGGTTGAACTGGCATATAGCGGATAGAGACCTGGGAGTGTAACTACTGCACTATTGACCCACAGGTCAATATATTGATTTATAAAATATAGATAAGTTCTTATTGATTATATTTGTATATTTTGATAATATCAATAGTAATTAAAAAGAAAGTTTTAGAAATTATTTTCTTTAAAAGTCTTAAATTTTTAAAAAAGATATTTAAAATATCAAAAGATAAGAAATAAATAATATATATTATAAAATCATATTTTTTTAGAGTTTTTTAGATAATAAAAAGAATTTTTAATTAAAAGTTAAAGTTTTTAGATTTTTTTTAAGCTTTCTTAATTTAATATTAACTTATATAATAAATATATTATAGTTAAATTAATCAATTTAGTATTATAAATAGTGATAAATTGGATCATTTTTAAAATTTAAATAGAAATAAAAAGAATATTTCAATCAAATAAATCTTTTTTGATATGAGATTGTTCAGTTAATAAGCTTTTTGGAAGAAACTTGAATTGTATTTTTTTTTTTTTTTATTAACTTAACAATTTATATTTTTAAATAATCTATAGTAACAAACTATTATCAATAAATTTGATAAATAAAAGCTTATATCAATTCTCTAGAGGAGTAAAATATTATTTTTTAGACTTAACTTAAAATAATTTGATATAATAATAAACTAGTTATTATATAAAAAACCTATAATATTATAAATAATTATATAAATTTTTCAACAAAGATTAAGTCATATAACATGGTTTTTTTAAAAAAAAAAGAGTTTCTATAAAATAAAAAATTTATCTAAAACTTTATATAATTATTTTTAAATAGGTTATAATAAGTTATTTAAAAAATACTCTATGCTGACTTGACTAAGAGTTTAAAAAAAAAAAAAAAAGTTATTTAAAAAATAGTTTAATGGAGCAAAACAATATTTAAAATTTTATATGAATATATTATAATAAATATTTTTTAAAAATATATATAATTAAATAAGATATAAAAGAAGTCTTAGGTTTAAGTTAACCATAAGATAAGTTAAATCATAAAAGCTTGAATATAAATAGAAAAATAGATAACTTTTTTTAATAATAAATTATAAAAATTATGAACTTATATTTCTAGTTTTTGTTTATATTTTAAAGTTTTATGCTTATCTAGTGATTTTTTTTTAATACTGTATATAATTTATTGAAAATTTTTATTTTATTTTTTAAAAAAAAATATTATAAATATTTTAAAAGAACCGTTTTTCTTATTAAATGAAATTATTATGCAATGGAGATCATGTGATAGCAGTTCGTATGCACGTGGCGCAATCTCCGATATATGTCATTGGTGTTTAAAGTTCAAGTGTAGTTAGATCCAACGGTATAAAGTTCACAATCATGTATTTTTTATCACCACGATTTTTCGTTACGCGGTAACACAAAATATAATGGATAATCTTTAAAGTGAAGATCGTTTCCAAGAACCTATCAAATGCACATATTTCTGCCATTACAGGTAATACCATGTTTTAAGGTCGCAGCATATCACAATTACCCCTCTGGTAAATTTGTGTTCCTATGTTCAGGTTTGCCAACAATCAAACGGCCGAATTTTATTTTTATCCCCGTCAGCCATATATACAGAGCGTATGTGTGTACAAAAGTCCAGCCATTCATCAGGGAACGATTTAATTCAAGAAATCTACCTTCCTCGAATATATACACACAAATTTTCCCCTTAAAAACCAATAAAGCCTTATATTGACTAATCCATTATCAGGAATAAGAGATACTTCCGAGTCCACCAATTATCTTATCCTATTTATTAGTGGGACATTTCAAATTCCTTGTCCAGGTTCTTGAATTCCAAAATTGTGACTACTTAATAAAGTAAATTCTCGTAAATTCAGCCATCAAGGTATAAATCATTTTTTTCTACTTATATCATAATTATAATAGAACACAATATGTGCAATGTAGCATAGTAACATAACTCGACATGGTATGAACTAGTAATGTTTGAGTAGTAATAGATTATGCATGATTTCTTATTTTACAAAAAATCTTGTTTATGTAGTTTGTGAAACGTCCTTGCACCGTGTCAGAGAGTTTCCCTTTACGTTCAAACTACTCCCACCCCAAGTAGACACTTCTCCAATTTTCAATTTTCGAAAAGGATTCTTTAATTTATTGGTCGTCGGTTTATTATTGTACAGCACTTCTTTCTTTTCGGGCCTAAAGCCCACAGTTGTATACCTTCCACGTATACCTATCAACTCATATAACTCTGGACAGTTATTATATCAAATAAGAAATAATCTTAATCTGACTTGGTTTTTAGTTTAAAAAGAAAAAAAAAAAAAAAAAACCAGAAAAAAAGAAAATTCAAAATCTTTCCCTCATAATTACATTTCTTAACTCGAAAATCGGCACCAGTCATATTGAACTTTAGCATACATGGCAGCGACAATCCATCTAAACTCACAGCAGCCTCTTCCACTCCATCAGCAACATCAGCACGTTCAACATCAATCGGAAAGGAATCGGCCGATTTCGACACCTGTTCCGATGAGTGTTCCTAGATACCCTGAGATACCTCACCCTCCGCCAGCACCCCAGAGTTCAGTAAGAAGAGGTAATATGTTCGGTCCTTATCTCTTGTTACAAACGTTGGGTGAAGGCGAATTCGGTAAGGTTAAGCTTGGAATCCACGTTGACACTGGTGAGGAGGTATGTCGTTTTCTCCCGCGATTTGAAAACACTCATGCCTCGTTTTTTCACGGGCACAGTCAAGAGCCGTGACCGGAAATTAGTCACGTCGGCTTAAAACATGCATAAAAGTTCATTACTAATTAAGTTATGACGATATCACCTCCAAAAGGTCGCGATTAAGTTGATACGCAAGGAATCAGTAGATACACCATCTCGATTTACAAAGATTGAAAGGGAAATAGGAGTGCTACGGGTATATAACAACATTCTTCTCCCCTTTTCCATTTTATTAGTCATCGACTTCATGACACAATCTAAACACGTAATTAATTAATTAATTCGACAGAGAGTTATGCACCCAAATATCGTAAAGTTGTATGACGTGTATGAGACCGATCGGTATATTGGCATTATTATGGAATACGCCTCTGGTAATTGTCCAACTTAATTTAGACTTTGTTTATTGGTCATGATCATTGGACTGATATACTCCTTAATATTTCAGGTGGTGAATTGTTCGATCATATACTGGCACATCGATATCTGAAAGAACGAGATGCATGCAGGCTCTTCGCGCAACTTATTAGCGGAGTTGATTATTTACATAAAAAAAATATTGTACATCGCGACCTTAAACTTGTATGTCCAAATTTATCATTAAAAAATTTCCGGTTTTTTGTGTTCACAGTCTCAATCACATATCTGTTCGTTTGATCATAGGAAAATCTTTTATTAAACCGAAACCGAAATATCATAATCACTGATTTTGGTTTCGCGAACCAGTTCAACGGTGCACATGATGATCTAATGGCGACATCATGTGGAAGTCCTTGTTACGCTGCACCGGAGTTAGTGATCAGCGAGGGACTTTACGTAGGAAGTGCTGTGGATATCTGGAGTTGCGGCGTTATCCTGGTAACATATTCTTCAAAATGTTATTCACTCCTTGCCAATAGTGAAATTCTTATTAAAATTTATTTATTTTGTTCGCTTTGGCATGCAGTACGCCATGTTGTCGGGATACCTTCCATTTGACGATGACCCATCGAATCCTGACGGTGATAATATTAACTTGCTTTACAAATATATAATCAACACCCCATTAGTATTCCCTGAATACGTAAGTCCGGACGCGAGAGACTTGCTAAAAAAGATGTTGGTACCGGATCCGGCGAAAAGATGCGATATGAAGACCGTAATGTCACATAGGTATGTTACCCCCAAGGCGATTATCTGACGTGTGGTAAAATATCTAAAATTTATGTTCGCTTCATCGAAAGGTGGTTGGCACCATATGCGTCCATTTTCAATTATACTATTCAAGAATTGGAGGTAATCATTTAATGCTATTTTTCTCTTGGTTCGTTTTGGCGATATTTCTTGTCACACGCGATTTTTTTTTAACAATTGACAATGTGAAATAGGCAGCCGCAAATCCAGTGCCATCATTAGCACCACCGGAGGCATACCTCCCCTCGGAAATTCCGGTCTCCAATAATTACCTAACCACCGATTATACGGGGGATCGACAGAATGTTCCATCCGGAACATCAACTGTGAAACGACACACCATTCAAGTCGAATATTCCGATAACAATGCCAAGTATGTCGATTATCCTGATGAAGATTTCCAATTTGTGGATGGAACGCGTCTCGGCCCTAGTTTATCACCCGTGGCCACATCAGATATGATACTGCAGGAAGAAAGAGATGAACTATTGCGAACCGACTATGAAAATACTTCCTCTTTACCCTCTCAAAATCTTGATTTGCCCGAAACTCATTCTAAAACAGGAAAACATCATAGCATAACGCCGACTGTATCGTCTGGACATTCTGACAGAAGTAGTACAGCTGCAAGCACTCCATCAACCATCACCACTAGAACTTCGACCAATGCCGGCTCGAGTCTTCTTACCTTGCACGAGAAGGATACGGATGAGGTTGCTCGGGAGAAAAATCAGAGCAACGACGTGTACCACAATTTAGATGCCAAAAACCTTAAGTCAGAAATACGACCAATGGAATCGCAACAAAAGAATTCATCTCAAACCCCCAAGAAACGGGATGCTCCTCGCACGCGACCTGTTACAGTCCATGGGCCGCCTTCAATTCCTTTAATTCAACATCGTCAAAATGAGACCATCATAAACCCTTCCGTTCCGTCAAAAAATTCAACTTTGTCAGATAACGGTCATCAACGTCCCGAGAACATTCTACCAAGTTCTCAATACTCCTCTCCACCACCTTCCATTCCCTTACCACCGATTCCTGGACATCGTGAATCACCGATACCTGCTATTCCGCCACCCTCCGTGATACAAAAGAGACACAAACGAAGCCCTTCTTCAGAGAAATTACATAGTTCAATGGGTATTAAAAATGAAAGTGGAAATCCATTGGTCACTGTTAGCACCGCCAGTAATTATGAAGTGGAATCTCGTAAACAATCAATATCACAATCGCAAACTTTACAACCGGGGCACTTCCAAACAACACTACTGACCACAGATGTGCCTTCCGATACCGCATCTGACACGACGAGCTACGTGGACGAGAATTTAGTAGATGAAACTAAGAAGGGGCGAAATGGAAAGAGAAAAGCTTTGAGCTTGATGGTCGACACCTTTAAGGGACCGGCGGCTCACTCCACGCACAGTGTAGTGTCAAATGGTAATGTTGCGGTAAAAGAAAAGAGAAAAACTGTTAGCGGCACTTCGGCCGGGAGCTCAAATGCGGCGAAGAAAGTTATGGACTGGTTTAGAAGAAAATCATTAGGTAAGCTTCAACATGATCTTTTTCGCATGATCACATCCACATCCTATTCCATCAATAATTCCTCTTTCTTGCGAAATGTATAGCGAAGCCCGATATCCCTTCATTGGAGGTACCAAATAAATTAGCGAGGGTCGATGAATCTGTAATATCAACTAACTCGGAACTTGATGCACCACAAAAGAACAAAAAGAAACAGAAGAGTAATCCTTCTGTCGTTGTAACTCAGCTCGGTGGTTCTCAGTCATCATCACGGCAATCTACCATGACTTCTACGAGCGCCGTGGATCTAAAACTCCGCGTCCATCACGGTGCGGTCGATCAAGATGCATTGACCTCACGACCACCTTATGAGGTTTTCATAGTAGTAAAACAAACTTTGGTCAGTATGGGTATCGAGATTAAACGTGAAAGTGAATTTAAGGTCAGGTGTGTTAGACGCAAACGAAAGCAAATCGAAAATGGAAAGTCGAAGGACAACAAATCCCAAAAGAACAAAGATAATTCGCAGGCATCAGAAAATTCCGAAAATGGCGTAGACTCTTCAATCGAGAAAAAGCGAAGGAAGTATACCACAAGCCCCTTAAAAACATTTTTACGTCGCACCAATTCCAATAACACTAGTACTACTTCGTCGGGTATAACGCCAATATCGTCACAAAATAATTTCAAGTCTCCCGAAGAGATGAATGCAGTAGATAATGACAACGCCCTCAATGGTGATTCATTCTCCATACCCAACAGCCCAACTATGGGCCCACTCATGACCCTAACTGGACCAGATGATTCATCTACCGCAAACATTTTACCGACGTCCACTCTCGCGCCAGAGATTTTGTATGGTGACCCATCCATAGATTCCGGAGAGGAAATTCGATTTGCTGTAGAACTTTGTCGATTAAAGAATCTTCCGGGAATATACATTGTGGATATTAAGAGAATGAAGGGTAACCTTTGGGCCTACAAATTTATATATCATACTCTCTTTGATAAGTTGGATTTAAAAGGTAAAGGGGGGTATTTAACCATCGGTACAAGCGGCGGCATGATTCATAACTAATTAATAAGTCGCGTTCGATGTTAAATCTTTTATGCTAAAATAAATATGCTTGTTGTAATCTCTGATTTTAATCTTTTAATTGTCAAAGTTAAACATAAATTTTACTCCCCCCCCTTTTTTTTACAATTGCTAGATGCTAATGGACTGTTTTTATTATTTTATATTTAATATTACGTTCAAAAAAAAACTTTGATTAACCATGTAATAGTATTGTAATTTTTATGTTTAGAGAATTTTTTTTTTTTTTTTTTAAATTTTCATATACATATTTATTCATTTCTTATAATCTTGGTAATCTTGGATTATTTTTTACCATTAAATATTGGATATATGAAATCAGATTTAATTACGTAAAGACTTTATTGAAATGCAATATTTTTACAAAAATACTTATACCGTAGAGCGCTGCATACAGTACCCGGGTATAATCAATCTAGGCGAAAAGTTAATTAGTAAAAAAACTTGGTCTTGTTTTATTTGCGCAAAAAAGGTTTAAATATTATAAGCATATCAAACCTTTATAGAATGATGTTTATTACAGTAATGTTATTTTTATAACTTTAGTTATAGATTTTAAGTAAAACTTTAAAAGTGATTTGTTACCTATTTGTAATTAAATCAAAACTTTCAATTATTAATATTATTGTTTACAAGTTATTATAGAAATTCCCTTCTAAAAAGAGATTTTCATTTAAATAAAAACTTTTTGAAAAAACTTTTAAATTACTTTTTTTCTTTCTTTTTTTTCTTCAATGTATTAATTCAGCAATTCATTATTATTTGTAATAATCTACAGTTAATGATAATTTCAATAAATAGAAATCCTAATATTAATCTATTAATAAAGAAAAATGTTATTTTTTTAAATTTGACTTGAGATATTTAATTGAAATTTTGTTTGGTTTGATTTAAAGAAGCTTAATAAACTTTACATAATTTTTAATTTTTTTTTTTTTAACCTGCAGTTAAATTAGTATGATATGTCTTTATTGTATATATACTAAATATTTACAAATTGTTGTGACTTTTATAAATTAATTTATTTATCATCAAAAAACTATTTCTCTAAATTCAACCTAGAGAATGATATTCACTCTTTTACTAATTTGAATAACTTTCTAATTAATAAGATTATTGTTTACAGGTTTTTTACTATAGATCATTCTAAGTTCTGTTTATCGTTAAAAACTGAACAATTTATTTCATAACAAATTCAATTTTTAATAATCATTGTATACTTCTTTTCTTCTTTTATTTAGTACTTTCTAGATTTAAATTCTTTGAAAATAATAGTAATGCTTTTTGATTCTATTCAATATATAAGTCAGGTTTATACTTGTATCTTTTGTTTTTTTTTATTTTCTTTTATAATGTTCTGCTTCTTTTTTTAATTTATAACTTGGTACAGTAACTATTTTAGATTTCCTTTTTGAAGTTTACTTATATATTTTGTTAGAGCTTATCAATTATATTCTATGTAATTGCAGGTTAGATCTTGAGCTACTTTTTAAAATACTTCTTCAAAATAGTAATCTTATTTTTTTTTTATATATCTATAAATAGTATTAAAAAAATTCTTATTGAATTTTAGAATATTTTTTAATTATTTATCTGTCCAGTCACTTGTTATAGACTAAACTTTTTTTTTATATTATACTTCTTTATTGATATATTTGTTAATCTTTTTATTTACTTTTTTCTATATGTCTTTATTAGTTTTTCTAGTGACTGAATATTTAAAGTATATTTTAATGTCTTTTCATGAAGTTTGCATACTAAACAAATAGTTATATTGTATATATCTGATTTTCTTTTTAAAGTATTTATAGATTGAAAGTTTGTTATGAGTTAAATTAGTTAGGAAACTTTTGTTTTTATTAATCTTGAAAGAGATATTTAAAATATTGATTGGATTGAACTAATTTCAAAAAGTTAGTCAATTTATGACTTTGTCATTTTGGATTCAAAGATCTTGAATTCTTTTCTGGATCATTCAGTTTAGTCTAATCTTTTTTTTATTAAATATTTTGTCAAAATCTCTAATATCAATCTTTATTATATATTCTTTTTATATAGCTATTGTGAAGACTCTTCTTAGCTCTAATAGTTGATATCATATTATTGGATTTCTACTTAACTTATTTAGCAAATAAGTCTACTTAATTGTTTAATTTGTTGATTCTATGAACATTGATATTCAAAACCTTTAAATTTTTTTTTTTTTACTAGATCTTTGATTTTGTTTCACAGTAACCAGTTGATAGTTTTTATTCATCTTCTTTTTGATGTTTTTATTTATAAGTAAATAAATTTCTATACTTTAATTACAGTATTGCAATCAATATGGGTCATAACAATCACAGTAACTTTATATATTTTTTAATTAATATAGTTTTTCAACTATTAATATATAAAAATAAGTTAACTATTATGTAAATAATTATAACAATATTATAAATATACTTATATCTAAAGATGGGTTTCTAAAGGAGGAGGCAAAGACAAAAGTCAAATATTCCTCACTAGAAAACATTAAAATTTTTAAATTAATAACTATAAAAAAACTATCCACAATTGTTTTCTATTATCCAAATTATTGATTTATAACATTTCCTGACTTTTGTTTCTATTTAAGTAAAGAGTTATGAATTTTGTTCCTCAAAAAAGAACATAAGTAATCTGTAAAATTTTATATGTTAAATACTTTAGAGACCCATCATTACTTATATCTCAATAAAAATATATATACTTTTCTTTCTTTTTTCTTTTTAATTTAACAATTTATTGGTTTTCAAATAATCAATAGTACAAATTATTGATAATAATCTTGATAGATAGATGTTTTTACTAATTTATTAGGGAGTATAATATTATCCTCAAAATCTGATTTAGAGTATTTATATATAAAGACTAGTTAATTACTTTGTGAAAGTCTGTAAATTATTATAGATTTATTTTAATTTTTCAATAAATACAAGCCATCATAACATGATTGTAAGTTAAAAAAAATAAAAAAAAATAAAGATATACTATATACAGTATATTATAATAGTATAATTACAAGTTAATAAATAAAGAAATAAATATGTTATATTGAATATTATATATTTAATCAACATATTCAAGTAAAATTGCTTTTAAAAAAAAACAAATTTTAAAGAAATAATTCAAAAAATGATTTATTATAATAAAAAAATAATTAAAAATAGATTTGTTAAGAATCTTTTTAAATAGTATTATATAATATTTTACAAAAAATATAATTTACTTAGAATCTATATTTATTAATAAATTAAAAATAATAATAATAATTTCTTTGATTCTAAAATTAAAAGAAAATATTTAATTTTTTAAAAATTAAATAATATTATTTTTACAAATTTGTAATACTTTTAAGTAAATTATTATTGCATATATATTTATAGAAATAAATCTCTTAGACTACTTGAACTTCTTAGATCTTTTGAATTATTTGATATATATATATATATATATATTTTAATTTGCAACAGACCTACTTTATTAATTTTAGTGCAGTATATATTACTTGTATTAATACTAGACTATCTATTAACTCTTTTTCTTTATGTTTTTTTTATACTAACTTATTAAAAAGTTAATTGATTTTAGACAATCTCTTATGACTTATTGCTCTCAACTAGGAACTAATATACCTAAACTCCATTAGCACTAATATAAAAAATATAGAAGATGTTATGTAGTCCTTTTAGAATATTATCTATTGTGAACTATATATCTATTTACTGTGATCTATTTATTGTTGTTCTCTCTTTTGTGTGTATTCTCTGTTGCTTTCTTTTCTCTTTTTTTTTATGAATATTTTGTTGATTCTCTATTTTTTTTTCCATTTTAGTATCCTTCTATATCTGTTAAGTCAGATATTGAAGGTTAGAAATCTAGTGTATTGCATGATACTTTTAAAAGTGTCAGATAGCTTGTCATATTTTATTATCTCTATAATTAGGTTGTTAAAGGTCTTGCTAATTTCTTTTCTGAAGATAAGCATGCTTAGATTTTTAGTACTGAGCTCAATTTTATTGTTTGTTATTTGAGAGGATTTTTTATTTTTCCTGTAATACAGTTCTCTAAATATATTTTTATTTATTTCTTCATAAATATTAATGTTGTGTTAAAGACAAATAAATAGGTAATCATTGTAATTTATCTGATTGCAGCTATGATATCTGTTTGTTTTGTATATGTTGGATATCTTTTGTGAAGTTTGTCCATTGTTGAGAGCTCTTGGTTCCATAGTTTGATAGAGAATCTATACTGTAGAGAGTTCTATTTGTCTATTTGTGGATTGGTGAGTTGTGTTGGATAGAAGAGTGTAAAGCTAGTTTTCAATCTATTTCTTTATGATTAAATCAAATGATAAGAGAGAAGTTTCCAATCAATTGTGTATTGCACTTGGTAGATCTGTTTAATAGCCCTATGAATGTTTTGAGTGATCTCTATATTGCCATTAAAGTAGGGTTGCAGGTAGTTAGATTCTAGATATGTGTAGAGAATTGTGTTGCAGTTTCTTTTGTCTTTGTTTGATTCTATTTGGTATGTCAATTTATCAGCTCTTTTATTAAATAAACTATTATCTTTTTTAAATATTTTATACTAGTTTATCTTTAGTTGAAAGGTGTTTGTTATTTTACAGAGATTGAGTAACATTCTTTTTTCTTGATATTTGACTAGTTTCTAATTGGTTGAGAGCTTGTAGTGGTCCTGAATAAGATTTTGTGAATCATATATATTGATTGTTTTACCTTTCCCAGCTACAATGTAGGTAATGGTAACTGTCAAAATTTCTGATCTACAGTATATGCTGATTCTTGACTTGCAAAGGTTGCATTGAGCTCAAAATATGTGTTGTCTTATATAATGAAAATAATTATACCTATTTCTATTCTTGATTCTATATTTGTCTTGATGCTTTTATTAGTATATACTAAGATTTGTTGTATTAGTTCTAATTTTTTGAAGATTATTGAGATATTTGTATGTAAATTTCTCTGGACTCTTATAATCTGTTTGAGTGTTTTTGTATTTAGTGTTTCATGGATAATTCTTAACAAGTCAAGTATGGAGTTGGATTGTTGCCACTATTTAATCCAACTCTGTAAAGATATTTGTAGTTTATATTTGAGAATATTATCTTTTTCTTGGCTAGACTTGGTGGTTTTAATAATAGGTATTTTGATTAGAGAAAACATTGATATTTTGATGCAGCAGTTGAGACAATATTGGTCTGTGTGGGTAGTAAATTGATATTCTTTGCATACTTCAACTAGTGATTTGTTTGTAATATTATAGTATCTTAGTTTAATGTTTTCTTTGTTATGATTAACTCTTTGACCAGGTATAATTTGTCCAGCTTTTTCAAAGAAGAACCATTCTTTACATTTTGATTCCTGAGTTCTTGAGTATATTAGAACAAG